ATTAAACTTGTGATTGCAATGATCATTCACTAAAGCAATAATCACGATAGCATGCGGCTCTACTAAGTTCTGTATTTTACAATGGTGGTATTTGAATTATTATAATGTATTTTATCAATAATACAGGTTGAAACATGAAACACAAACTCATCATTTATATATATATATAAATATATATATATATATATATATATATTCTGAATAATGAGTACTTTTACTGTCAAATACTTCTTCCACCACCAGATTTACCAGTAGTCATCCATTGTAAGACCAAGCTTTAGTTAATAATTAGTTAATGTTTACTTTCTGAACACCTGCAGCCTGTTGCATCAGCTGTGTGCAAGTTCAAACTTTGCCTTATCATGTAAATTATTACTAAGTTGTGATATATACATGACTAAAATAACAAGTTACAAGTTACAACTTGTAAATGTTCACAGAATTAAACTCACTGATGGTGAAACAGCAGTTTTCTGCCACACAGCATTCATGACACCTTAATGAGTAGAGACCTTATTTATTGATATGATATTTAAATATCGATCTACCTTACCTTCTACCACTTGGCTCATTCCAGCCAGAGAAGCCAAATCACACGGTTGCCATGGCGACGGAACTCAATCTTTGACCATTGATTGGCTGCTTGCCTTAATCAACACTTTACATGCAAACTAATTAAGTTATGCCCCAAGTAATGGCGGTACAACCAATTGTAGTAGGTGATTCAGTTACAAGTGTCGACTTTACACCCTCACTAAAGAGAGAACTTACACATAACCGGTGCAACCCAGGCCTGTTTCTAACTTTAACTTACAATATTAAGATAGGCAGCTCGGTAACCTTAGCACATGAATCCTTAAATTGGCTAAATGCTGTCCAGTATTTTAAAACAGCGGTATTTTAATTATTATAACGTGTTTTATCAGGGTAATAATTAATTTCTGCTTCATACACACCGAAATATTAACCTTAGGTTGTAGCTAGTTTAGTTATTTTTGCTTAACTTTTTGTTAATTAACTCACCTGTTGCTGTTTAAGACCGTCATGGAGTCGGTTGGTTCTGCTGCCAAACTTGTTATTTTAATCTTCTTCATCGTCTTTCAAATAAATTAAGCCTTTAGTCGTGTCCCATTTCTGTATATTTAATGGGAGCCATTGGAAACGAAACAGACAATCTTTCATGAGCTTGTATCCGACAGCTTCCACCTGCTGGTAATGTTCCCAAACTAGTAAACCAATCAACATGGCGGCCTAAAACATGGTTATTGTTGTTGTTTGGTGCAAGGAGAATATGTGGTCAATATCAAATGTAAATGGAAGTATATAAAACCTCCCTAACTTGCTTTAAAAAATAAATTTAAAATGTATTTATTGTACTTAAGGGTTTTGGTTATAATAAAAATCCGTCTATTAATGAATTATATGAAGTAATGTCTTAGTCTATCATTTTAAGTTATAGGCTGTTCCTTATTGTTCTTGTTGTTGTTCCAATTCCTCAAGGTAACATTTGTCATATTGTCAATTCCCAGATGTTTAACTGTTTAAATGTTTATTTTTATTTATTTATTTTTCATTTTCTTTGCTTTTCTACTATTATGTTATGTGTATATAGTACATACCAACACTGAAGGCTTGTGTATATGTATATATTTTTACTGTTGGGTATGCAACCTGTTGTTCCCTTATTGAGTTTGTAATCTACATCTGTTCAATAAAGAGGGAAAGAATAAAAGTAAACCAGATTAATACTGATAGGGCCGAATTAACCTCACCATAAAACTGAATTACGGTGATGATGAAGCAAGGACATTTAACTTCTATCTATTTATTTAATGAATAATAGTGTAAAGCAGATATGTGGCTATGTATTTATTGCTGCAGCTGAATATAACCTTTCATAAAGCCTTCATTGTTTTTTTACAGTCAATGAACCTGTAACAGACCAAACAAATATGTAAAACCATCCCATTAACAACATTTGGTGGCCAATAAAATCACAATTGAACCAAATGTGCTTTGCAAGTTTCATTATTTTTTTGAATCTGTATTCATACGTAGCCGTTACTGTCAGTATTCTTCTACAAATGATGTGTTCAGTGTGAATCTTGCAGTGTCTGCCCATCACTTTGCACTTTCGATTTGCAACAACAGAGAAACTCTAATTAAAAGGTAAAGAATAGTAGCAGTGTATTTCATTTTTATTTTTCTGTCAAACACAAACTCATTTGCACACACACTCAAGCCTACACCCACACACACTGTCAGTCGATCACACAGTCTTTCACCCAAGTGAATTTTGCTGTGGTCTCAGACAGCTGCAGGGTTTGCTGGTTTCTTAACAACTTAATTAAGCAAATCTCCCCTTTTTCCACCGAGGTAATGAGCGTAGTTTTACAGGGATTAAACAGTCTCCAGTGTTGAAAATAAGGCTTTATACATTGGCAATCTTATCTGCCTTTATCTGTCCAGCCAATTTTCCATCCACAAGATTAATAAAGGCAGAAGACATGTTAGCCTTCCCTCGTTCTTCTTTTAATTTGCAAGCTATTTATGCTAAAACACTTAGTGTAAATATGAGTAAAGCCATACATTTTCCTTCTTGACTTGGATTAACATTGATAGCAGATAATCATGCATACAGCAAAGCAAATGTACAAGCAGATAAGGGACAAATTAAAGGAAAACTGTCTCAGTAAGCCCACCATGGGCTGCTAGAGCTGAGTCTGCTGAAGGTTATGAACACCATTCTTACATAAGACAGTCCTTCATTTTGTTTTTTTGATGAACGCGTTGCTCAGAAAGCTCCCATTGGTGGTCAGCTGAGTGATTGTGAAGGCCACAGGCAATTATTCATATAGTTTTCATACTCATCAAACGGTTCAATGGCCCTCCTCCTGCCCCCCTTATGGAAGCATCTGCATTGTGTATGTTTTTCCACTCAATTTAGTCAGGGTTTCCTTTCATGTGTCACCCATCTGTGTACAAGCGGTGCATTGAATGTAAATACATGCACCATATATTATATGTACAGTTCAGAATGCATGTAGGACAATACTGTGAAATGCTAGATTGAAGATTCAGTGTAAGAAAACATTTCCACTATGTTTTATTCATGTTTCTTTTGACTTGGTGAGGTTGAAAGTTCATTCTTGACATTGGAAACATCAGTTGACAAAACAATCTCACCTCAAGGTCCATTTAATGGTTCAGTTATATAACATCATCTTTACCAGCAAATGGAGTTTGCCACCATGGACTTAAAGATCCTATAGATTTCTTTTTTTTTTTTTGCTCAGTTCAGTTATGTCGAGATATTGTTGTTACTGAGGTTAGGAAAGAACTCACCTTTAAAACCAACATGGACAAGAAGTCTTAATAGCGCATTTGACCAACAGCAGTCGAAAAAACACCTCAAGGTCCATGCTCCGGTGCTCTCAATCATGTCACATGAGCTTTAACACATGATCGTGTTATGATTGAAAGCTCCAGAACAGCTACTAAACTGACCCTGAGAGTGAGGATGATTGTTTAGTTAACCAGTCTCCTTGTTTGTGTGTTTTTCGAGAAATCCCATTGTTAAATGTTCACTTTTGGATCCATTTCTCAAATATTTTATTAGTGCCAGAACTTAATAAGGTAATATTACACTACACCAGTTATAAGTGTAAAACATTCCTTGTTTATTAGTGTCAGTCTCTATTAATGGGCCCGTTGCTTTTCTTTCTTTACTTCTTTTTTATTCTCTAACTTATGTGAAGTGTCTTTGAGTTCCTAGAGAAGATAAAATGCATCATTATCATCATAACTATTATTTTGTACCAAACTAAAAGCAAGTTCAAGTCTTTCTCTTGAGAAGTTAGATTGCCATTTTTCTCCCATTGTGAGTCATCAACTATACTGGAGGCTGAACTTGTTAAAAAAGATGGTCGCTGGATATTTCAGGCTTTTCAATCCAAATCTCTGAGAGTTAACAGCACTTTACATCAGAGATGAGAAAGTTCTCTTTCCTCTTGGGACTCTAAACCCGAATAAACCACAGATAAGAATCTTTAAAAAAATAAAATCTTTTTTGAATTTCTTTGGATCAGTAGGAACTTCTCAAACTATATGCATGACGAGACCGCAGGAGTAATTACACTTTCCGACCATCTTAATGGATTATGAAAAATAATAAGCTCTTACCAGGAGATAATTAGGATGTGTAAGTGCCAGAGTTGCTCAGACTGGGCACGGCTGATTATTACCTCTGGCGAGAAGCGACTGACATTGAGGGGAGAATTATTTCAGAGTGTGAGCACTAGCTGCAGACTTGCTGGAACCAAGCCCCTCTTTTGTGGTCTTAATTGGTAGATGTGCAGATAAGGGAGGGAGGAACCCCCTCTGCACACACACACACACACACACACACACACACACACACACACACACACACACACACACACACACACACACACACACACACACACACACGCACACACATAAAGATAGAGTTTCAAAGAGCCTCATTCTGGTTAAATTAAGTTCCCCCCCAATTAAAAGTCTTATCATCAGGTCTCTTAACTGGGTGTTGGATGTCTGTGCGCTCTTATAAGCTCATGAACTTGACTAATGATGTCCACTAGGACCTGGACTGCCAACAAGGGTGTTAAATGCTACCCCCTGCTGGTATTAAGGCTGATGCAACATACTGTTGTTCACATACTAATATACTGCATTGGTTCCCAACTTTTCTGGCTCGTCAGCCATTAAAATAAACCTATGTTTACTTGTAACCCCTCATCACAGGGTAATGCTGTGAGCAGATTAATTAAAGAGGGATTTTGAAGGATTTTAAGAGTCCTGAAGAGCAGAAAGTATCAGTTACTTCTCCTGAAAAGAGCAAGACAATTACCATAGGTAAATATTTTCCTTATCTTCGCTTTAATTATCAAATGCAGTGAATCCCAACATTACTCTGATGCTGTGAGATGTTAAACGGAACAGGGCAGCAGGGAAACATATTTCTGTTACAAAGAAAATCAGGTTTATTCTTTCAGAAGTTCATCCAATCTTTACATTTTGCTTGTGACTTCCTGGATATTTCTGTTTCTAGGTCTCTAAATAACTTATTTTCATCTCTCTCCCCCTCTCACATTTGCTTGTTTGTTTAAGGCCAACGCTTGTTTTATTGCTATTAAGTTATTCATCTCAAAAGTAGCCAAGGTTACGCCGGGGTGTCAGAAAATACCTCATTACTTCTGCATTACTTTCCATTCATCCGTTCTCTGCTACCCATTCTTCAGGTAGCCTTTACGTGAGAGGTTCGGACTATCAACAGTAAGCAGGATACTGTTCTTGGAAAGACATGTCGCTGCTCAACTGTTTTAATGTCATTTCCCACTGCTTTGTCTGTCCCACAGTCTGCAACGTGAGATACCACTAGAGGCGGGTGAGAAATTTGGGAGAACTGTGTCTTTAAGAGTGTTACCAGTGATGGACTCAGTTCCTTTTTATAAACCTTCTCCAGTTTTTGACGCAGCAGGGCAATGACAAGGCTGTGATTCCAACACATTTCATCCCAAATGGATGCAAACAGCATCAAATTTAAGCTTTACCCACAGTCACTGAATTCAAAATCGAATGTGCAGAAGTACAGGGTACAAAATAGAAAATATGTCACAGTGCAAATACGTACAGACTCCACTGTAAACTGTACGTATGTCAGCCAAACAAACTAGAGCAAAAATCATTTGGGATGACTGAAAATGCACCTCATTTCATCATCCCTCATTCCTTCTCTTTTGAACATAAACCAGGCGATTTAAGCAGCTGCATTATACACAAAATGACAAAGAAGCAGAGGATTAACCTGAATCTGTTACAGTGAGGTAGGGTAGTGGAGGAGTCTGGATCAGGATGCTCAGATCATATTGGGTAAACCTCCATAAGAGCCTGTTAGTCACAGTGCGACTCCACCCTGATGCTCTGGCTCTCTGGCAGGGCTGAGTAAACACTTTTTGTCAAGGAAACCACATGGGACTCTGAAACTACTTCCCTGCAATCCCTGCCCTGGAAAACCCTCTGATACACCTTCTCTAATGCATGGTAAACAAGCCCGGGTCACAGTTTATCCACTCCGCTCTGGGGCTCTGGAGAAACAGACCCCCCCCGACTGAAAAAATGGAGGGCAAGGACAGGAACGGACAGGAAAACGCGGCAGACAAAGACGCCTCGACTTTCATTTTGCATAATTAGCAAATCAGTGCTGTGAAGATGAGTCCTCCGTTTCAAGGTCACTGAAGCAAAGTGCAACAATGGATAAGAATAAAAGAACAGACAGGGGATCACATCCTTCATACACATACACATACACACAATCTCAGACTAATTATAGTCTTTACAATATGAGACGTGAAGCTGAAATCAAACAGTGCTGATTTTTTGGAGCTTTGTAATTAATTAATGAGCATGTGTGAGCTTCCAGTGACTCCTTCTTATAACACCTCAATCGGCGGCGATGCATGGAAATGAACTCAAGACTATTCTCTGTTGTATTTAGGAACCAGACAGCGAACACAGTTGACTTACAAGGAAGAAAAAGAAACATTACAATGTACAGACATTTTCAGTTTTTTAGTGATCAGAGAATAATGACTTCAAAGAGGTGATGTCAGGCAAACAAAAGGTAGCATCTTTAACTGTTAGTCAGTCGTGAAATGACTCAGTAGAGACAGTCTGTACAGGAGGTTTGTTGATGTACAGTTACATCAAAGGCTGTAGGTGTCCTCAGGTAACTCTCCCAGGAGTTCATCCAGGTCATCATCTGCACAACAGACACAGACACAGGAAACAATGTGTCATTCGTATCACATCCAACTGGCACGGCAGTAAAATAAGAACTATATCTGCCTGGACTTTAACCATTCAGCTGTTTGCATAAATTTGACAGGACTTGTTGAGTTTCAGAGGTTCCTGTTGTGATTTTTTTAAACATCTCTTTGGATTTTAGGCATTTAATTCAGAGCTATTTTTTCCAGTTTATTTTGTTTTCTGCCCCAATAAGTAAATTTCTCCTGCTGGTGATCTATAAAGACTTATTTATTCCGATCTGCTGATGGCAGTAAATAAAACATCTGAGGATCATCAAAGTGATTACAATTCATCCTAATGACAATCCACTTTCTAATGGTGGTTGGTCCATGGAGCCATTTCACTATGGTGGCTATAAATGCAGAACTTGGCTTGTCTTAATATGCTTCCTATCATTTTTAGATGAATATGTATGAGTTGGCTGCTGATCTAAGCACTGACTAAGCACGACATTTCAAATACAAATTCAGTCTGTGTTACCTTGTATTGTGACTCATCGTGTGCAGCTATTTTTTAGACAGTTTACTGGCTCAATAATAAAAAGAGAAAAAAAACCCAGATTAATCAAAATGAAAATATTGTTTAGAGGCCTCTTTGTGTTGCCACAGTTAGATTGGGTTTTGGGTCAGTGAGTCAAATGTTAATGTCTCAAAACTTCACCAGAGTGTTGCCGTTTTATTCCGCAAAAACTTAATTTTACTTGAGTCTGACACTTGGCAAACCCAAGATGTGACTAGAATTCATCTCTCCCTCCTCACAAGTTTTATTACATACAAGGGCCCCCACCTGAATCCCAGCCTGGGTCCTGCAGTGCTGCCTTCCCAGCAGGCTCTTGGGGACCTCTGCTGGTGCTGGCTTTAGTGTCTATTGGGGCTCGGGGGTCTTCGCCTCCCTCTGTGCATTTTCCCTCGTCATCCTCCTCGTCAAACACCAGGTGCATCTGAGACACGGGTTCCCGGAGGACACTTGGAGACTGAGCCGGTGACGGCAGCAACGGCTCCTGGATAGCGCGAAAAAAAAGAGATGTTTTGAGGGGACAGTTGACAGGTTGACAGATTTAATATTTGTTGGAATGCAACTGTGCTATTCTCGTTTTCAGCTGACAGTCGTGGTGCTCACCAGGACGAGCGGGGGGAGCCGAGCGGAGGACAGACTGACTCCATCAGGGGCGTAGATCCTCAGCAGGTTGTTGGGCGTCACGTTTAGGTAATGGTTACGATGGGAGGGCGAAAACACACCCACCTGTCCACAGAGGGAGTAGAGACGGAGGAGAAACAACGTGCTTGGGTAAATATTTAGTTTAAAATAGTAAACTGCAGTTACCATTATGTGTGACATTGAAGTTGAATGAGTCTTACTTGTTTGAGCAGCAGTACAGCTCCAACCTTCAGCTCCTCCACTCGGTCTTCTAGGAGGCGCCGGTGCACTGTTCCCTGAATCTCCCCTTCAGGGAAAAACATTACAAACAGAACAAGGAGAGTAATTAACAGAATGTCATTTAACAGGGAATGGTTGGAAAGATGTTATTTGGTTCTCTAAGTTACAAGTGACGGACCTTTTTAACTAATTTGAATGAAATATCCTAACACCTCTATAACAATACAGGTTAATGGGGGAGAAACATACACTGCTGTCTTTGTGAGGACCAACTTCACTTTGAAACCATCGTAGGGAGGACATTTCTGTGTTGTAAGGATATTATGGCTGGTCCTCACTACTTCCAAAATTGTTTGAAGGCTGAGACTTGTTTTAGGGTTTGGGCTGGGCGGTCTACATCTGGTAAGGGTTTGGGAATTTGTTGTAATCGTTAAGGTTAGGGTTAGGTGCTAGGGAACGTCGACAGGGGTCCACACAAGTATGTAGCCCTTTGTGCTGCACAATTAATCGAAATATGATCGAAATCGCAATATGGCCAAGTGCAATATCCGAATCCCTAGTCAACAAATCTTGTTCTCCAGATGTAAGATAACAGGTTTGTTCGGTACAGACCCTAACAAATGTCACATTATCATGATTTTAATAGGATTTTTCTGTGAAAATTGTGATGCCAAAATGATCGCAATCATTTTTTTTTTAATCAATAAGGTTTTTTTTGCACTTGAGAAGCCATTCATTTGGTGATTCCTTTTCCTGCCGACTGATTAATCGACCGATCTTTTCATCTCTAACATACAGGACATGCTCGCTGACAGGAGCTTCTTTCTGCTGGAGAAAAATCAGCAAACCATTCAGCAGGTGGGAGGCACATTACTGACAGAACAATCCCTCGTGGTGTCAGAAGCACTTAACACCATCCCACTGCTGATGCCAATCTACAGCAATTGAATCACTAATAAGCACTTAAGGCCGGTGTTGAGTACAACATCCACTCCTGAGTGTTAATAATCAGTGCGCCTCATGTGGCTGCTCTCTGGGGGCCATGGCAACCGGCTCGGCTTAGAGGTAGATCAGACAAAAGGGTGAAGGGCTTAAGACCGATGCAGGAGGAAGGAGGGAGGCCTTCCTTCTGTAGGCGTAGCACAGATGTAAGCTGGACTGAGTGTATATACTGTATGTACATGTAGGGGAGACCGGGGCTTGTTGTCACACGGGTAAGTTGTCACATTGCAATTATCTTCTCCACCAAGGGGCGCAACTAAAAGGTGGAATACTAGTTTTCTTCCTTTACATGGTCAGGTGTCATGTCCTGTCTGAGAAGAGGATAGCACATTGTGAGCTGAGACGAGCACCAAGTAACCATTGTGCACAACCCAAAGTAAAAAAGATCAACTTTATATATTTCAAAATAAGCTTCGTTCAAATAAAAATCCTAACAGTGATACATGTTGGGGTTAGTTGTCACACACATATTTTGATGAAAATGCACTGCATATATTGACTTGCAATTTTTTAACACTATTATTATAGTGCATTGTTATATTATGCACTATTATAATAATATTATGCAATATAACAATAATATAATATATAATACAATATTATGCAAAGGATGGGCCCATGAAGAATGCACCCCTGGTAGATCAGTCTACGTATGCCAGAACTGCGATGCGAATGATGAGTCTGACTAGTGAGGACATTTGTTTGTCAGGTTTTGTTTGAGTTTTTATGAATGGATCTTCCAGTTGTTGTTGGAACTATGTCCACATTTCAGGACTGGTTTAAGTTTGATAATGAACCAATGCTTTCGTTTTTTGTAATTCAATTTAATCTGGAATTTTGAGTTTGAGGAAAGGTAAAACAGGCATTTGAGTCCGAGAGCCATAGCCTACGTGCCAGCAGTTCCAAAGGACTTTAATCCAGTGCATGTTGCATAATATTTTATGTTAACGTTTGTTCAATAGCTTTTTCAAGCTCAGTGATAAACATTTTCTGTGCCTGATTTCAATGTTCACTTTCAAGTAAAAAAGAACAACAATAATTTTGTCCTTGTTTTATTAGTTGCAAAATCCAGTGTGACATCTTACCCCATATAGTGAGACAACTTACCAGATGGTGGGGCAACATGTCACATGCTCACACTCTATTTGATTGCTTATAACTCTGCACTGACACAAGATATGGAAATGACATGACCACAAAATATATATCTGAGACTTTGGTCTTTCATCTGGTACACATTTTTATTTTTATATGATGTATTGATACCAAGAAATATATAAGAGTGTAAAAAGTTTGACAACAAGCCCCGGTCTCCCCTATATCTGTGTGTGTAATCAAGCGTCTTACTGTGGCTGAACTCGTACCACGTGGAGCGCAATCAGGCGAGTTGAGTCAGCGAGCAAATGTCAAATGTGAAGCTCACACCTCTTTTATTCACCATCACTTAACAGTTTATTTGGAGCGTGTTTTTTTTAAAACTAGCTTTAAGATATTATAGAGTGCAAGTGTGGGTGCATCTGCTACCTGTTGGGTCTTTGAACACAACCTTGGCATCAGTGTTTGTGTGGATGATGCTCTTCAGGAGTACAGCCATGTTGGGCACTTTGTTTTTGGCCAGCTGTTTGAGTGCAGCCTGAAGAGGGGAGGGAAAACAAACATCAGATTACTGTTATCATTTCACAAGAACTCAGGTGCATCCATCTCCAACCCATAATACTGTCGTGTGTATAAACATTTTCAGAGCTGTGATGGTTGATTGTCAGAAACTTTGGCAACTCATTGTGATTCAATCAATTCATCTCTTCAGTAATATCTCAAGCACAGGTGTCCAACATTCACTGGTTCTAAAATGTAAGGATTTCAAGCTTTTCTTTGTCATATTTGGTAGTAAACTGGATATGTGGGGATGTTAAGACTGTTGGTCAGATGAAATGGGACATTTTTAGAATTTTCTGACATTTTATAGACATTATTATTCTGGAAAATAATCCTCAAATTAAAAATGAATCATAAAAGAATCCCTTAACCATTTTACTTGATCACATTAATTTGTCAATAACGCTGCAAGAAAATCAGTTAAATCCCCATAAGTTGTTGTAAAGTTGTTTGTATATATGCTAGCCATGAAATTCATCCTCAGTAACAATGTTTGCCTTCTTGAGACACATATACAAGTTTCATCATTTCTATAAGTTTGTACTTACAATAGTTTTACATGTGTTTAGATAATCATTTAAATTAGTCAAATTCCAAAAACATATTTTCTGGCCCCATCGGGTAGTAGTATTGAGAATGACACTGTGGCAGACAGCAACACAAACCGCTATAAACGGTTTCAATTTAAAAAGGTTATAGGTTTCAAACATTAATATAGCAGCAAACAACTATTAGCTATGTAAAGATACAGTGGAGTCACAGTGAGCTTTGGCAGCCTCTGTTTGCTTTGTTTGTGTCCGGTCTGGGGCTTTATTTTGACCAAACCAGAGTTGGAATAGTGGACAGACTACCAAAGACAGTTCAGGTGAGTTTAATTTGGTTTCTGTCCATTTTGAATGAAGTTACTATTATGACAACATGTGAGGTAAAATTATTAAAATTATGTATGGAGTCTGGTGGCGAGAATAACAATCTGAGCAGTCAGTGGCAACAACAAGCACTTTTAGTGGAGATACATTAACGGGGGTCGCATTTGTTCCCAAGGATTATGGCATCCATAGCAGCCCGTTTCATGGCTGTTTTCGAATCTAACATGTTGAATAAAAGAGGTTATTTTGATCAAACCAGCGTTGGTGATTATTGGTAAGACCAACAAAGACGGTTTTGGTGAGTTTTATTTTGTTTCAGTCCAGTTAGAAGTATGTTTTATGATTATCTGCTGGGTAAAAGGACTCATTCTGTCAATGGAGTCTGGTCGGCTGTAGTGCCAGTTACTTTGGTCTGATACATACATACAAACAGTAGTGAGCAGTGTTTACTGTTGGGATCATTCTCTCTCTCTCTCTCTCTCTCTCTCTCTCTCTGCTACATTAGATGTAACATGTCATTGTTCAGTCAACAGAAGAGGGGGGGGCTGTGTGGTAATTTGTTTGTTCACCCAAACACAGACTTTTGGGACGCCGGGGTTCATGTAAACAGCATAACCTGAATGAGCTCAGCCTGCGTCCTGCCAGAGACTCTGTGCGCGTAAACGGAGGCCGTGTCAACAGCCACGACGAAAACCAACATGTTTAAGTGCTCACACGACCACTGCCATTCAAAAACACTTGTAAGTTATTCCACAGAGGTCGGCCCACAGAGAGAGCAGAATAACAGCGGAGTCTTCATTAGAGTGATTGATGAGGGATCATACTGTTTATAATTACAAAACACCTCTGGTACAGCTCCTTCATTTGTCCCGATTATGCCAATAGACCTCCAGCAGTGACTCGGTATGTTATAATGGAGGATAAATAAAAAAGAATACTGCTTGACCCAAATAAAATGCTCCTATTGCAATGCTTGAATGGAGTTAGATTTAGAACTGCATTTCATTGTCCCATCCTGTACAATGACAATAAAGCTGAACCTTGAAATTAACTTGGGAAACCGATTCCTTTCCTCCACTGCATTTATGTTTGTTACTGAACATCGTGTGTAACGGCCGTGGGGGGGGGATCACCTTTCGAAGCACCATGACAACACTGTAGGAGCGCAGGAAGCACGAGGGGTTCCTCTCGTCCAATCCCATCTCTGCCTTCATCGCTGCCCAGGCGCCGCCACTGAAGTCGTCCTCCTCCGTCTGTGAGCTGGAACCCTTCAAATCAAAGCAAAACAGTTTAGACCCTCACAAACACAACAGTAGCTGCGTCGCTGACGAGCTTTACTTAAAACACTCGACCTTTCGGTGACATCACACTGTGCACACCTGTCTGGAAAAATATCAGGTTTAGATTTTCTATCCTCTCCGTCTCTTAAATTACAGTGCTCAGATTGTCACTGTGGTTCGGACGCAGCAGGCTGCGGCACTTTAATGTCTGGTTTTGAAGGTGCAATAATCAGTCACGTCAGAAATATCATAGCGCGTTGTAATTACTAAATAAACAGACAGAGAGCTCTTTTTTTACGAGCGGTCGCTGAGAAGTCTAAACAAAAGTCATGTTGGAAACAATTCAGTCTGACAACCGCAGACGGGAAAATTAGTAGTTGTTGCTCCTCCTGTTTCACATACAAAACATGAGGCAATGTGAACTTGCATCAATCAAGTTTATAAGCTCGCTTATACTGTTCAGTGTTGCAGAAACATGGAGCCTATCCCAACATGCACCGGGTGCGAGGCAGAGGCGGGGGGTCACTGTGTCGCTGCTATTCCTCCGTTCTTCATGGGCACTTGTACCCATTGATGAACATGATGACAATATTTGTTTTCAGGAAGAAGAAAAAAAAAAGAAAGACCTTTCAAACTTGAAGAACTGATTTCCCAGGAGGACCTGAAGGCAACACTGAGTGTAGTTCAGTGTAGAGCTGATGAAGTGAGACCAGGGAAAACACCAGGGTTCTGTTGGAGGTGCTGACAGGAGAGCAGGACGGGGATTTGGAGGTCGCAGCGGAGTGGAGAGAGTCAGAGGAGGAAGGTTATAGCTAGATGAGCCAGAAGCCCGGCGTGCAGTGCTGAGCTCTCCCAGGCTCCGATCAGGTCGCGTCTGAATCCCTCCACAGGTCCGGGGTCGCAGTGTTTTGGCTGAAGAAGCAGGCTCTTGTTCTCATTGATGAACATGATGATGTTGTTTGTTTCAGAAAAAAAAAAAAGCTTTCAAACTTGAAAAATTGATTCCCCAGGAGGACCTGAAGGCAGCACTGAGTGTAGTTCAAGGTAGAGCTGACCAGCAGCGGCTATCAGGAGAATTATGTGGAAATGTCTCGAACACAGAGCATTTGGGACATGGTGCAGGTGCACAAACCGAAAGTTATCACTTGAGGAATGGTTACATATTGGGCTGTAACTAATCATTATAGTATTATTGCAGACTATTTTCTATATGAATTGATTAATCGTTTGGTCTGTAAAATGTCAGAAACTAATGAAAAATGTCCATCTCAGTTTCTTTAGGTCCAGCGTGATTTTTTTAAATGTCTTAAACCCAAAGATATTCAGTTTAATATGAGATAAATCACAGAAAAGCATTTTATTTTTGCATGAAAACTTACTTTAATGATTAATCAATTATCAAAATAGTTGGTTACTTTTTTCTGTCAATCGACTAAACGATTAGTGGACCAATCGCTGCGGTTAGAATTTCATTACAGCAAAAATGATTACTCGATTGACAGAAAAACTATTCTGATAATCGATTAAACGTTAGTTTGTCATGCAGAAACTACAATAATTCACTGGTTTCTGGTTATTGACTGGTTTCTTTTTATTTATATAATATTAAACTGACTATTTGGGTTTTGGGAAAATGTGACCAGCATTGTTCCACCATTGTGGGAAACTTTATAGACCAAACAATTTATTGATGGAAGAATAACCAACGGATGAAAGAATAATTAAAATAATTGTTAGTTGCAGCTGTACATAAATGTCTGGGTTAATATTTTTTCCTAAGATGACAAAAATCTATATCAAGTTAAAACAAGCTTTCATGTGTTATGTGCAGATCAATGTCTCTGCGTTGTTATTACCTGGCTGGGTAACCGGGCCATAACACCGTGAGCAGGAGTCAGAGGAGCAGAAACCACTATTTCGTCCAGGCTCCGACCCTGCAGCTGAGAGAGAAGAATTAAATTATCACACGGCACCGTGGTGGAAAAAAGGGAACACATAACCGACAGTCATTTCATTAGAACTGGCAAAACCTCAGAGCGGCAGCACGGTGAGTCTGAAAGGGATTACGAGGGTGAGATTACATGTGATCTGAATGCTCTGAATGCTCTGGTACTTTCAGCTGGACACATCCGGACAGATGTTAGGAATTTGAGATGATTGGCGGAGGAAAAGGACCAGCGTTGGATGAGACTAACCTGCTCAGGCAGGAGTCCGGCGGGGCCGGGGAAGCGTCGGGTCCTGGGCCGGAGAGGCTCAGAACGAGGCCTCTTCTTAGGAAACTTATTGGAGGCAGATACCAACTGGACCAGGCGGTTGGTGAGGACCGGTGTGTGAAGGGGATTAGATCTCAGAGCGGAGGAGCCCACAGACGGGGAGGAGGAGGAGGAGGAAGGCGCTGAGGAGATTGTCTCAAAGAGGCCACGACCCTGAGGGGAGGGTCCAGGGGTTCCCCATGGTCTCCCTGGCTGCTGGGGCCTGTTGAGTGTCCTGGAAATGGGGCGGGGGGTAGAAGTCGTTGCAGTAAAACCAGGGAAAACACTTGGACTCTGTGGAGGGGCTGACATGAAAGAAGGGCGGGGATTTGGAGAACGCAGCGGAGCGGAGAAAGTCCGAGGCGGTAGGTTACAGCTAGATGAGCCAGAAGCCTGGCGTGCAGTGCTGAGCTCTCCCAGGCTCCGATCAGGTCGTGTCTGAATCCCTCCACAGGTAGGGGGTCGCAGCGTTTTGGCCGAAGATGCAGGGTCGACAGCATGCGCAGGTGCGGTTGGAGGAGGGGCTTGTTCCATCTGGCGGTCGCACTCCTCCAGGTCTGCAAGGTCAACATCCCAATCATCAAAATCATCCTGAGCCACGCAGGGCTTCGGTGGCCCTTCTGCGTTAGCATGACTCTGTTGTGATGCCAAACTACGCGGACAGTTATTCGCCGTGGGAGGCCGGGGGGAGGAGGAGGAGGAGGAGGAGGAGGAGAGCTGCCTCAAACCCAGAGCAACAGTTTGCCCAGCAGCAGTGTGCGTGCTGCTCCTTGATGGTGTGCCATTACACAGGGCAGCTGATCTCGCTCCAGTTTGCTGAAGGCAATTTTTCTCCGGCTCTCTGTGAGCAACAGAGGAGGCCCGCAGAGCACAAGATGACACAGCAGCTGCCACATCGACTGGTCCAGACGCTGAGCGGACAGCCCAGTCTGTTCCCAGCAGGTCCTGGGAAACACACACACACACACACACACAACACACACAGATATAAACACAGTGTGAGAGAGGGGGAACAGAAGGAGGATCATTATGGTACACAATGTGAGCAGCACGCACTGACAGTTAAGTAACAGTTGATATCAGGTGTGTTTGAGTCTGCTGGGAGTCACCTCATCATCAAAGTCCTCGCCAATGCTGAACAGGCCACTTAATTTACAGGTCTGTAACAGAGGACACAACACACTGAGGAAAAGTCCTCCAGCTTTAGAAGATGAACACGGCCTAATTAAAACTAGAAAAAACGTGTCATTAACTTATGTGTTACCTGTGTTATGTTAGCATGTTAGCTTAGCTCAGATTGTTTTTTTGTCACTTACCATCGCAGTCAAAGTCGCATTTAACCCGTTTGGACAGCAGACTTCCAGAGACACTCAGTAACAACGTGTCAATGTCATTTTTTTCTGGGTTTTGTTTTGACGATAGCTTTACTTTGAGAAGAAAACGCTGCTATCTGGCGAGCTACAGGACAACTTTTTAGTGGGTTGTGTTGCTGCTCGATTCCCTAACGCGCCGCCACGTTCAAACACGACGTAATGACGTAAGAAATGTTTTTTTTTTTTTTTTTACAAAGAGTGTCGAAGCAGAGCGAGATGATTCACTCCTACTCATATCCGAAACCGTATTTCAGGTCGCTTCTTTGTGTTTTGTTTGATTTTAGCTAAACGACGTTTTCTGGATTCTTGTGTTGAATTAGAAATGATTGTAACACACATACTTGGAATTAATAGTTCAGATTGACTGGCTGTTTATCAAGAACATTTACTAAAACTGTAAAAGAAAGGAAAAGGAGAAGACAGACAGTCAACCACCCAATGTTGTGACGAAGATAACCAAACCAAAAACTACACTTAAATAATAAAAACAATAAAAATCACACCACACTTGTGTGTGCACCACAAACCACATCACCATCAAAAGTGTGTGGACTACCAGCATGCACCAACCACCCCTGCAACTGGATGCCACCACCAGCAAAGAGGTAGAATTAAACCACTATACAATGTAAAATCAAACCTAAAATGAACAAAATAACAACAATAAAATTCAACAAAATTGATGCCTTACATACCGCCACACCGGCAACCTACAATAAAAGTTATAGCACTGTATAATGATTAAAAAGTACAATATCGCACCCCATACATTACCAAACAACACAAATGCTAAGATGAATACAAAGCATAACATGTTAGTGCCCTGTGGTTTAGTGGTGACTCCTTTCTATCGATTAATTGATCCTATTTCTTCACTAACCTCAGGACAGTATTGTGATGTTTTTTTCCCCAAAAAAGAACAGTGGGTCCTCAGTTTGCAAGACATTGAGGTTAGTTCCAGGCACTCTTATTGCCCCGGCATACACAGTTTATGAGAGGTCAGTGCTGCTTTTGTACTGCACACCTAAACTCCCCTGAGAGGATAGATGTAGGAGCAAGAGCTACTATCTTCTCTGAATCGTTTGCTTTTGAATTAGCTTGGCCTGGTTTACATCTGATTTCTAGGTCAATCTTTGCAGAGTTTGAGGCCCGCTTTTGTTCAGCTGCTCAGGTGCAGAGCTAGAGAAATATTCATGGGGTTGGCAGGAGGGTGGCATGGAGATTTTTACATAATTGGGGCACATTAGTAAATGATTTAATAAAAATATATCTAAATGTGAGATTAGAAATCAAGAAATAGACATTTGTCCAAATACTAATCTTTTTAGAACTTAAACCTATCACGTATAGTCTAAAATGTGGTTGTTAAATTAATTTGACATTTTTAAACTGAAGGACAGAGGATCTTCAAATTATGTTCCAACAATGTTAGATAAATGAGCTAATATTGTTTTCCTACCTCAGATCAAACTGCCTCTCCCTTGCTAACTGTCAACTATCTAACTCCTACTTTTGATTCCTTGCTGCTTGTCCAAGTTTTATATATTAACTGTAAATACACTATATTAAATATTTTAATAGCCTACAACATATTTCAAAAGTTCTGTGGGCCTGTGGATTGGACTGTAGTCTATCTTGACATTTCTTGGCTCTTTGGGGACATAAATATCAGATCAATACTGCCATTTGGTGGCCATTTTGGGTAGTGCAAGTGTCAGCTTGCATTCTGATCTATTAATAACCAGTGCTGAAGTTGTGTTTGAACAACAATCTTGTGGCTGTGTCCACAAGTGAAGGGCATTTAATTTGGAGGTTTCCTTGTAGTATTTTACATAAAAGGGAAGAAATACTTAAATTAACTTCAATATTAAATATGAAAGTTTTTACTTGACCTCTGCTTGGATCCCTGTGGACCACTGCAGTTCCAACGAAGGGTGAGTAAAAGCTGTAGGCGGACATTTATCTGAACAGTACTGCCCAGTGCTTCAGAGGCAAGACGTTGTTGCTTTAGAGAGTTTATTGTACGGATGTCCAGCTCAGATTGGGCCAGAATATGACATAAAATTCTACTTCTTGGCTCAACTTGTCAAAAGGTAACTTTCTGGTGGGCTCACTTTAAGGTGCCATGTCAAAGGACACATTTCCGTTCTCTTCTACCTCACTGCGCTCTCTGAGACTGGAGCAGGAGTTGCAGGAGTGGGAGGATGCTCGCCGAGCGTTGGCTCAAAGGAGATCCATGACCAGGCCCCCGCTGCCCCGGGCCCCCAGGCCTCCTCCCAGACAGCAGCGACTCCAGGAGGTCAGGGCCCCTCCACCACCGGTCCGGTGCAGAGACACGGCCATCCACAACACCTTCATGTGGGGGGATATGAAAGGAGTGTATGCGGTGCTGAAGGACCCTGCGATGGTCAACGCCCTGATGGAGACGGTGCATGAGGAGATGGTGTGGACTCCAGAGATGGGTATGAGTTCAAGACCTCTTTCTGATAACCTCACATCAATCCTATTCAACAGCCTTACTGTTCCTCCGTCAGGCATGTGGACGCTGAGCTCCAAGGTGAAGCAAACTTCAGCGTTACGTCTGGCTGCCAGCAGAGGACACACAGGATGCGTGGAGGAGCTGCTGTTTCGTGGGGCTGAGGTGAACGATGACCCCGGAGGAAGCACGGCCCTCCATGATGCCTGTATAGGCGGCCATGCTGTGTGTGTCCAGCTGCTGCTCTCTCATGGAGCAGAGCCTGATCTGCTGGCAGCAGACGGCAGCGCTCCTCTTCACCTCTGCACATCTGCCCAGTCATTCCAGTGAGTGATAACTAACCATTCGTACTATGTATTACCATCAGTAAGCAGTTCTCCATTAGCCCCAGTTTCACCACTTGGATAACTGAAGTTGAGTTTCATCTTAATCTCCTCTTACAGTGCAAAAATGTTCATCTTTAAAGTAATTTCCTCCCAGTGTAGTAATAAAGGACTTATTATAAAAACCTAATTTTCTTATAATAAGGAAAATGGCTTCCCAAGAATATTGAGACTTTGAGAGAAAAGATATAATTTCCTTCAAGAACTTACCAAATTACCACCATAGCAGTAACCTGCTTGTACTCTATTTGAATGTTAGAGAGAAAATACTTTTACAATGCAGATATTGACTCTGTAGCATAGTGTAAATTTGTGCCTTTTTGTTCCAGATGTGCTGAGCTTCTGTTAGAGGGCGGTGCAGAGGTCAATGTTAGGATGAAGGAGTCCAGGCTCACACCTTTGCACGTGGCCGCTCGGCGAGGCCTGGTGGAGCACGTGGAGCTCTTCCTCAGCCACGGAGCAGACGTGCTGGCCACAAATCGAGAGGGGGAGACCCCTCTGAACGCTGCGTGCTGCGGTGCCGAGAGGCCCTCTGAGGCCGGCCGCTATTTACGTGTGATTGAAAAGCTGCTGGGCGGAGGAGCTGACCCCAGAACTGCCGGCAGGAAGCAGCACACCCCCCTGCACAATGCCTGTGCAAACTGCAGCCCCCGGATTGTAGACCTCCTCCTGCAGCATGGAGCCAAGGCAGATGTGGCCAACTGTGCAGGATACACACCAATGGACTGTCTGTTGCAGGTAGCTCATGAGCGGGTTGGTTAGTTAGAGTGAAACAGCAAACATTAGAATCATAAAGACTGATTGATCTGGTAGTAGATATTTTTTTGTGGAACTCAGGCACTTTCTGCTTGTTCTTTAAGGTGGTTGAAGATTACCCAGACCAGGAACCAGAAGCAATAGCACGGTCACTTCTGAACCATGGAGCTAAACCTGTTTGCCCAAAGGTTAGATAAAGCAACCACGCTTAGAGAATGTGATTCTGATACATGCAGAATGTGTTGTTTTCTTGTAAATGGTAAAATAATTTATAGGTTTTTTTTATAATAAGTTGAATTTCTTTATTGTGTCTTACCTCAGCCTGAACCCAACCAATTATCATAAGCTATGACTAAACATAGCCTAACCTGACCCCAACCGTGGAGACGGGAGGGAAACACCATTAGAGGGGAAATAGATTTCAACGCATCGCCTGCACTGAGGTTATTAGAGATAAAAGGTTTTGGTCGTGTACTTTTCGTCAGGCATTAAATTCACAATGTGAAATAAGAACATCTTTATATGGAAGCTACAGGCTGTAGCAACCAATCATAAGAGGAGCCAACTGAGGCCACATCGACACACACAATAGTTAATTACACCACATATGTAGAAATCTGAAGAAACGTATGAAGAAAGGTTCAAAATGTACAAAGAAAAAAAGAAACAAATGTTAAATATATTTTGTGATATATTTTTATTAACAGGAAATGTTCAAACAGGGAACACCTAGTCCAAGTCTCATATCCAAACTGGAAATATCTAAGTGACCTTAATAAAGGAAAAAAATGTAATGTTTGAATGAACCAGTAACTGAAATATTAAGAAAATTGTCTTAATGTTCCACAAAATACAAGTTAATATTACAAGGGGAAACCTTTAAGTAAACAGTCTAATGTTACGTGACATCCGGGCCGAAATTGTTTGAGGTATTATAATGTAAATAATCTAATAATACAATATGAGGCCAAGAAATGATTTGAATACCAAACATGAAAAGAAATATAAATAATCAACTCAGACATAGAAGCATTAAACCCTAAAATCTGTCCTCTTTTCTCTTCTAATGTAGTTTGAGATTAATATAGACGTTGGACTGTATGAATGGGACAGATGTGCCACTGTTCTTTCCTCTCTCCAGATGTTTAAGCAGTGTGTCCTCTCTGCTGCCACTCTGGAGGTGATGCTGAACACGTACACATCCGTCCCTCCCTGCGAGTGGATGGACTCTCTGTCCACTGAGATACATGAGGTGAGCTGTCTGCAGTGTTAAACCCCCTTTTCTTCTCTTCTTGTGTAGTGTCCAGTGCTCTATAGTGTTTCTCTGTTTGTCCCCCCCTTCCTCCCTCCCTGCCTCAGGAGCACCGGCCTTTCTTCGACTTGGTGCGTCAGCGGAGCGGTCAGCCTCGTTCTCTGCAGCATCTCTGTCGATGTGCTTTACGCCTGCACCTCGGAGCCCGGTGTTACTCAGCAGTCATTGAACTGGACATTCCCAGCTCTGTGAGGGATTACCTGCTGCTGTG